GCCTACGCGTACTCCAATGTCCAGCGTTGTTGTAACACTCAGTGAGCGCGTCTAGCAAAGCAGAATCTATATTATCGCAAGTGTTATAAGAACTACAGACCGAGCTAAGGAGCTGTTGGTGGTCTTGGGGCGCAATCTCTTCAAGACATGCGCCGACAACTTGTTTTGCCTTTCGAGTATGGTAGCGTTTTGTTCGCGCTGACRCTGTGTCCCATGGTGTTACCAATGAGTGGCGAATCGGGCTTATATCCCGTGAAGCTAGAAATGCGTTGAGGTGGTCTCTAGGTGTCTCATAKGTAATGGATTTGTCTTCTTYAAGAACCAAGGATACGGACTGTGCCTCTGAAGGCTGGTAAAGGCTCACGGGTGTTTCGTGTAATGCACAGACTGAGGCAGCTGGACTTGACTTCAGTGGTGTTTTAAAGGAAACCTCTGGATCTTCATCCGTCTTTAAATAAAAATATATTCAATTTCATTAACGCCCTTAAATCATCTTGATTATTAAGACAATTTTGTAGCTTTCTACCAATCCCTTTTTTTTGTCACCCCATGAATATTATTTTGTTGTCTGATCTAAATTGGTAATTTCCAAATATATGATCATTTAGTGTCAATAATGTGCTACTTTTATTTTTMTTGTTACTCTTATCCCTAAACSTTAAGCAAACTTATTATTATGTTTCGTAACATCCATTTTGTATATTCCTTTTAACGCTCTTAAATATAGAGCGTTTTCACGTGACGTCACAGTCGCCATTATGGGGTACCAAAACAATACATTTTCTATCCTCCGGGAATTGAACTCTATTTTTATGCAAATACTGTGCAGAAAGTTTCTATTGTTTATTGCTGTCTTCTCACGTGAGTAAAAACGCTCCATTTTAGTCAATCCATTGTCCAGTGGGCTTCCTGTGGTAGGGAAATGCGCTTTGGGACAATGGAAATATGATCCTCACTCACCAATTGAAACTTCTCAAAATCCATTGCAAAATTCTCTTCAAGCTCTATTTGTTTTAACTTTTTTTCACAGTTGGTGCACATTCCTAGGTTGAATGGTAAATCGAAAACGTTATCCTGTGCTCATAAAATCAGGAGGCTATCAAGTAGAGATGACTTTTAAGGACACTTACCAGAACCAGCTTGAATAAATGTTCCAGTTTGTTTCAACAGCATCTGAGATGCGCCTTTTCCAATACCTCTGTCCGCCTTTGGTATTTTCCCCTTCCATTTGTGTCCAGAAACTTCTTGGGGTATCCTACATCTAGTGTTAGAGCCCCGACTCCACCCAATGCCAAGAACAGAACGATGGTTTGGACAAATGGTTATTTCTTCTATGTTTTGGGGGGTCTTGAATAAACCAGCGCGAGACAAAATTAAATCCACCTCATTTTCAGGGCCAGAAAACTTGCAACTCCGCAAGTGACTCGAGATGTCTTTCTTGCATGTCAATAGAGGTATCACCTGTGTATCATATGCACGATCTTTACGGTCAAAACCACAGATTCCACCGACAACAGATTTAAAAGAACAGCAAATCTCCATGTTTTGATTCTGCTGTGAGTTAGGAGGCGCATTTTACTAGTGAGTGATTACCTTGCACTTGCAAAACATATTCATATTATAAAAACAACTGCCTGTCAATCAAGGGACTTTGTACATTCGCCGTCTTTTATCTCAATAACGATCAAGTCAACGTTATATGAACCTGGCCTTGGTGTTTTCAGTTTAAAACTTCATTTAAGAGGCAAAACATTAGGATAAAGAAGAAAAGAATATTCA